ATCTCTGGAGGACAACATCTCTGAAGGACAACATTTCTGGAGGACAAAATCTCTAGAGGACAACATTTCTGGAGGACAACATCTCTAGAGGACATCTTTAAAGGACAACATATCTGAAGGACAACATTTCAGGAGGACGACATCTCTGGAGGACAACATCTCTGGAGGACATTCCTGCAGTCAGCTGCTGCAACATCTGTGGCCTTTTGTTGTGGTCAGCCTAAAGCTCACCTGTGGAATAATCATGTGTCTGATCTGTCTCACCTGAGAGGTGGAGGATCATCTCACTGACAGATTTAAACTGATCTGTCAACAATATCTGAGAGACAAAGACATTTAGAGTTCGTATGAAAAGTTTTAGATGTTTGAGTTCTAAAACTAAAGTCTTGTTCATGTTCGGTTCAGTTTATTTCGTTTATAGTTCATCTTTGACTTGAACCACTTCACTAAAGAACTAAACTGATCCAGAGAAACTTTTTTTGTAAATCTTTTCCAAGTGCACATTTTTTTTGTGCTCGCATTAGCTGCTCGTGTCTTCCAACAGTCCAGACGTCTCACAGAGACGAGAACATCTCGTTGCTCCTTCTGCCTCAGAACAAGCAGAACCCGACGGAGTCCGACTGAGCAGCTTGAAGACAAACTGCGGTTGTGCCTGGGGGGCGTTTCATTCCTGCTGTGAAATGGAAAGCAGGTGGAAAATGTTCGGGAGGCTCATCCACAGCAAAGGTCACAACGGGGGAGGTTTCCACCCACACTCCACCCAAAGGGAGGGAAGTCTTTCAGGGCTGGACGACTCTGAGTCTGAGGGAGTCCCAGTCCAGGTTCTGTAGACGTGCTGGTGCTGCTCGGACCAGAAGGCTCTCAGCTGACGTCCCACCGGTCAGTTTGATGCTCGAGTGAAGAAGACGTGACTTCATTTCTCCTTTCAGAGCCGGCAGCAGCGTCAGGTATGCTGGTCCAGACGTGCTGAAGCTTGTCCTCTGAAAGGACGTCTTCATTCTCTACAAAAACCTTCTGCTTGTTGTTTGAAGACCTCTCAGGGAAGCCATGGTCCCATCTCTGCACTGGCTGCTCCTGCTCGGGGGTCTCCAGGGTCTGTGGGCCCAGGACAATGAAGAAGATGAGGATGAGATGACGACCAGCAAGAAGAAAAGCAAACTGTACGCGCCCAACTCCGTCGCCCAGAACGGTAAATGTAAGCTTCGTTTTCTCTGGTTTCACAAAAATAAAAAGCCGAGGACTGAATCTGCTGAACCTAGTCCAATGTTGGAACATGGCTGGAGGATCCAAACCTCTCTGAGCCATCCATCAGCAGCCGGACCGCCTGCTCAGCATTTCATCCTTCTTCCTTTGGGCACATTCTGATCGTGACACGTTCCTGTGAAGATTAATGAAGTTCTGCCTGAACGACACCTGCGACCTCTCAACGCCTGACAGTCCGTGGTTTATCGTTCTTCTGTAAAGTGACGCCACATTTATGAACTTCCATCAGTCTTCTTGATGAATGTGACGGCTGACAGCCTAACCAGTAAACAACAAATTAAAGCAACATCTACTGTTGAAGAGAAAAGTTGTTAGTAAGACCTGACACCGTAAAGTTATCTAAACCAGCCACGTGTGTCTAATGTTCCACCAAGAAGGAACCTGTGGAAACGGCCTTCAGCAGCTTCGGCTTCCAGTTAACGTGTTTCTGCAAACTGTAAACTTATTTCCACTTCCTGTCTGTCTCCAGCTCTCGGCGATGAGGACTGCAGTCTGGAGCTGGCCTTTCTCATCGACAGCTCCGAAAGCGCCAAAGACAACCACGAACAGGAGAAGCGCTTCGCCTCAGATGTGACGGCCCGGCTGCAGAACCTGCGGCTGATCTTGGGCCAGGGCCTGGGGTTCCGTACAGCCCTCCTGCAGTACAGCAGTCACGTCATCATCGAGCAGACCTTCAGGCAGTGGAAGGGCGTCGACAACTTCAAAGCTAGAATCGCTCCCATCACTTACATCGGCCACGGCACCTACACGACCTACGCCATCGCCAACCTGACCCGCATCTACCTGGAGGAGTCGGGTACCAGCAGCATCAAGGTGGCCGTTCTGCTCTTTGATGGCATCTCACACCCAAGGAACCCGGACATCTTTTCAGCTTTGGCGGACGCAAAGAACCAGGGCGTACGCTTCTTCACGATAGGAATCACACCTAAAGCCAACGAACCGGCAAACCTCGCTCAGCTGCGTCTAATCGCCAATTCCCCGGCTTCACGCTACCTTCACAACCTACAAGATGTAGGCGTGGTGGACAAAGTCATCGGGGAAATTGTAAGTAAAAATAAACTTAATGTTTTTACAAGTTGAAGGAAAAACGTGAGTTTGACGAATGATCTTCAACCAGCGCTGGTGGAGCCAGACTCTCGTTAAACCCCTTTAGAGCAAAAGTTCTCCAAACTTTCTGAAGGTTTTTTCAGTTTTTACTTTTGTTAGGCCCAAGTTTCAACAACATGGCACGTCCTGGTTGGCGTTGTCCTTCAAATAATAACAAGCAGAAAAACAAATTATACTGGAGGACGAGATTTAGTGATGTCCTCTGACTGGCTCTGCCGGGGTCTTGGTTCAGGTTCAAGACTCTCTACTGATCCTTGGTGAGTTCTGTTCTGTTAGGTCTAGTTTGGGTGTTTTATGTGTCGACTGACTGAAACAAATTGCCCCTTGGGGATAATAAAGATTCTTGAACTGGTTCAGATCACAGAAGACTATAACTTGTTTCTGTTTTGTTTTTCTATAAATAGAAGTAGCAGCAAAGTTTCTTGGTTCTGTATATCGGGTCCATCAGGTCTGGGAACCCCCTCGTGTTGTCTTTCAGTCCCCCACCTGATGACGGATTGTCTTTTCAATGTGGTTGTCCCGGTGCCGAAATCAGAATCCTATTTGGACACAACCAAACCTGGCTTTGGAGACTTGGAGAGCCACTATCCTGCATGTCCGCTCCCCCCCTCCCCCTGCTCCAACACCCCTGTATCAATGGTTAAATGGCCCCTTCCTGTTCTGCAGAGATCTGTTAACCCATTAATTCAGATGAATTCAGATCAGGTGTTTGGAGCAGAGAAATGCCTGAAACCTGCAGGATAGTGACCCTCCAAGACCAGGACAGGACACTCCTGATCTAAAGATAGTGGCCCTCAAGGACCAGGACTGGACACCCCTGTATTAAACACCTCTCCACATTTTCCTGACTTCTTCCATCCTGAAGCGCGAGGTCTCAAGTCCTTTCTTTCAGGACTAAAGGAGGTTTGACGGAGCCGGGCTTGTAGGTTTGTCTCAAGTTCAGGGTTTCAGTAGCTCCGGTTTGAGCTCAAACCCCCAAAACTCAATCTCTAGTGGGGTGTGGTGGTCTCACCCTCCTCTTTTCTTCTGAATAATGTTCTTATTCTATTGACGATGCTGCCTTGACTCTATAGTCTATAGGTCTATAGGACCAAGGGATGGACCTGGAATAGAGTGGATATCTAAGACTGGTCTTTATTTAAACTAAGACTTAGTCCATGGTTTCTAGATTCGTTATTCTGAATCGTTTTTCCACTTCGCTGTGTCAGCAGAAAGATCAACTCTTTCCTACTTTACATTTTGATTCTGCTGTGTCTCTTTAGTCAACGTTCCCTTATTTCATGTCTACATTAAACTGAGTTTTATTCATTACAGATAAAAAATGTGAATCTCATCTTTAACAACAGCTGGTAAATTTGATTAAGGAGACATTCTTCTGATGTGCATGCTCAGACCTGCACACAAACACCTCAGACCAACATTTCATCAGCATTTCTTTCCAACTGCTTGTGTTCGATAATTGCTTTTTACCAGAGGACATAAATTTATGGCAGATGGAAGCTTCAGAAAGTCATTATCTACAGATACCGTCTGAATGTTCGTATTAATAATAGAGTCTCTGTGCAGCTTCTGCTGCTTATTGCATCCCTAATTTACACCTGCTGCCATAGAAACCGCTCTTCTTTGAATTCAGACTCGGCCTACCTCCTATAAGCACGCTGAAACCCGAGACTTGATGGAAAACTCGGCACTGAGAGATTCCTCAGTTAAAACGTGTTTGAACATTATTAGAACCATTAGTCTTTACTTTCAATCCCTCATGTTGACTTTGATGATTGTGGTTGCTTTTATAAACCACTAGTGGCATTATTCCCAGAGCCATCAGGACTCCTGGTGGGGACATCTGCTCCGTGTTTAAATTTTTTGTGGGGGAACCGGGTGAAGAGCGCTCCAGAATCCAGCTTGAAAAAGCACGCAACTTCATCCAGCGAAACTGTTCAAACACCACTTCAAGCTCAGCCTCAAGCGCTGACACAGGTGGTAATCATCCAGATACGATGAACGACGCCGTGCTCAGGGCCTTGGATCCGACAGGCCGGGTGTCGCTGGACTAAAAGAGAAGGATCTCATTTTGTTGTCTAGGCAGCATCTGTAGATCATAAGCATGAAGCTCTGTTCCAGAGAAACATCGTTTTTAAACTCCCACCATCGGTATGAGCTGCAGAAACACCTCCAGGCTGCTTAGAGGAGCTACGATACAATTTAACACGTACTTTGTTTAGTCTGAAAGTCTTGTATTGACGGTATGATCAGCTCATAAAGAAAGAAAAGGGTGAACATCAAGACTTTGGCAAGACATGTCTTACAAGAGGGAGTACAAGAGGTCCTCTGTCCTTCCCAAGAGAAACTACAAACGGATGAGTGGCTAAACATCTGAGCTTTAGTGACGAATGAAGTTCAGTCAGGTCAGTTAAGCAGGACCAGCTGAGCCTGACGCCAGTGACCGATGTGCCACCATCCGAGGCCAGCCGCCGTTCAGCTTTGGCCACAAACAACATGAAATCTGGCAGGATAGCTATAGGAGACTTCAGAGTTCTTCTAGTGTTTTTATGGTATGAAGTGAAACACCATGGACTCATTGCAAGACCCTGAACGTCTGACAGCAACGTCATTTTCAACGTTTTTCCAACGTCCTTTGTGGAATTTACTTGTTCTGAATCTTGATTCAATACATTTTTGAACTAAGATTAACATAACTTTGTTTTTTCCCCACAGACAGCCCTGGCAAATGAAGGGGTAAGTCTCCAGGATTCAGGTCTTTTCAGCTACATTTGGTTTGGTCCATCTGTAAACTCCACTGTCTTCTATTTGTCCCTGTCCAAAGTGTCCTCTGGCCCAAAGCAAGTGTGCATGTGAGAAGGGTGAACGAGGACCCAGCGGCCCTGCCGTGAGTATTTGTTATGCATCTACCCGACGACCCATCTTGTTTCCATGAACGTGTGCTTGATTAGCTTCTGTCACTGTGATTGTGTCCTTTCACATCTGTTAACTCTGCTAGCAAAAACACTGCAACTAGTCTGGGAGACAAACTGCACTACTCTCTGCTCAAGTATTAGCATGCTACATGCATTAGCATGTAGCATGCTAATACTTGTGCATTAGTGTGCTACATAGCACCCTAACGCATGTAGCATGCTAATGTACATAGCATGCTAATATACGTAGCATGCTATGTGCATTAGCATGCTACATGCATTAGTATGCATGTAGCACGCTAATACTTGTGCATTAGTGTGCTACATAGCACCCTAATGCACAAGTATTAGCATGCTACATAGCACCCTAATGCATGTAGCATGCTAATGCACATAGCATGCTTAGCATGCTAATGCACATAACATGCTAATATACGTAGCAAGCTAATGCATATAGCATGCTAATGTATATAGCATGCTAATGTATGTAGCATGCTACATGCTAATGCTAAAAATTATTTTCGCCAGCTGTATTTTTCATTTTAAGTCCTTTTAAAAAACTTAATTTTTACTCAGCTGCACATTCAGAAATAAAACCAGTAAATTAAACGTCGGAGTTTAAAACGGATCTTGTGTTATCTGTTAGCATTCAGAGTGTGTATTTGTTGATTTTCAGCTACTACTACCCCACTTTTAGCTTAGTATCTGTAAAAATGACTGGATCGTAGCTGTTCTGAGGTTTGCTAAGGTTGATTAGCCTTGGCAGCCATCTTGAATCAGACTTCAAACGTTAATAATCGTCCATTGATTGTTTTCTGGCAGTTTCATTAAAATTTATCCAGTTTAAAAAAAATTTTGGTTCCTGAAGCTTTCAGTGGCCGTTTATTTTTATCAGTGTTTGTCCCACAATGTCTTTATTGTACATCAGTCAAATCATAAACAAGACTTCCTGTGTCTTACTCCAAATTAAAGGTGCACGTATTGTGTTGCTGCCCTGAACAGAGTCCACGGCAGAGGACAAAGACCCCCCAGGCTTTATAACTGCAGGGTTGAAGGGACTTTAATATTAGAGACGCTCCACTTCCCTCCAGCAGTGAGTCGGGAGAAGAATACCTGGCGTTCCTCTTGCCGTTCACTGAGAACAGGTCCAAACACATCTTTACATCTGAAATCAGCGGAGTCACGTCTGCTCAGAATACAACCTCCCGGGATTGTCTGAGGATGTTGGAGCAGGACTTTCTTCCCCTGCCAAGCATGTCGTGATCCTTTATTACCCGGACAAGGTCGGTCCCAATCAGAGGGTCTGATTTCTCGTGTTTGATGTCCGGTCGCTGGACGAGAACAGAATAATTATCACGTCAAGTCGAACCCTCAGAACAAAAGCTGCTTCACATCAGGAGCAGCGTGAGTGAACACAGACAGATTAAAACCCACAAAACAGAGAAGAGCCGGCAGCTCGTCTGACTCATCGTCTCCCGCTGGCCTCAGTCCAGTATGGACCTGAACCATAGTCCCAACACAAAGGAGGTCTTAGATTACTGACACAAACCAGGACAGATGTTTTATTAATTATCTGACAGGCGACGATCAGCGCAGACATTTAGATTCTGAACATTTTAAATAGTTCCTGAGAATGTCCAACAGTCAGGAACTGGTCTGTTCCAGACCAGTTGAAGGCAGATTTAAACTAAAACGGTCCTGTTCTGTAGTTTTTAGCTAAAACATAATAACCCAGCAGTTCGTTTAGTCAGAAAATGGTTATTTGGAGCATCGTTTAAGTTTAGGTGTCATCCTTGTTTCAACCGTGTGTTCAAATGGAAACAACCCCCAAAACAGGTTTTTCAAATTAAGTTAAATTAAATTTCAAATTAAAGCTTGAAACACCACCCATGTGCTTCTGTGTAGACGGCCTCGGTGGGGCTGTGATTCAAGGATTCAAGGATTTTTATTGTCATTCACATCACATGTGGTACATGAGGTGGAACGAAACTATGTACATAGGGATGATGTCACCGTTTTCAAAAAGTTGTTTTTGTGTAGACAACCAAAAACACAAGCGTGATGTTTCAAGACTTTTTTTTTTTTTTTACTATGACAGGTTCTTAAAAAACTACAATAACAATTTTGGGGGGGGGTCCTAAAATGTCTTTTCCAGAATGTATGATCTAAACTAACGTAACCGACGGCGCAGAGGACGTCCTCGTCTTCTGGCTGTGTTTACATTTCCCGCGCAGTGTGGAAGCTTTCCGCACACGCTCCACGCCTTGTTTCTTGTTTTTGGTGTATTTTCTTCAAAGCGTCACAGCACCCCCTGCAGGCCCAGCGTAGTTACTGCAGCGTTTTGAGTGTTTCTGTGTGGACAGAGAGAATTCTAGATGTTGTGCGTTGAAGTCCGAGTCTTCGTGTCACAATTCACAGTTGGTCATTTTGAGATGGACATATTCTTTTTTTATGATTGTACAGATTCATATGGAAAAAATAAAATCCTAACCATGTTTATCATTTAACCCTACTCTTTAATTTAACCCATTCAGCAGTGACTCGAGTGAAAAGTGAGGAACTATGAGGGATCGTACAGATGTATTTATTGTTCTAATGAAAGTTACGTGGTGTGAATTTTAAACCGTGATAACTTTATCCGACAACACATAAATACTGTTTAGATCTGTAAATGGTCTCCATGAACTTGTCCTCAGATTAAAGATGCTTCTTTCGTTTCATCCGCAGGGCAAGAAGGGTCGACCCGGAGACGACGGAAGTCCTGGTCTAAAAGGACAGAAGGTTCTGTCGACTCAGAAACTAGTTCCACATAAATCTAACTTTCAAAGTGTTTCATGATCTGTAGTTAACATGAACAGTTTTCATCCACTCATCGTGAGCATGAATGATCTTTACTTACATGAATTTCCAAACAACAGACGTCAAAGCTGTTTTTTAAAAGCGCACAGTCAAAAGTATACCAGGGTTGATGTTGGTGGTGTTGGGAAGGCCATTCTAGGAGCTCCACGTTGATCTGATTTATCCAACCAGAAACCAGTTCTGACGTGTGTCCAGGTTCTTTGTCCTGGACGTTGTTGCTGTTGGTTGGAATTGAGCTTAAGAATTTGGAAGTATTCCTTCAAACTGCCAATTTGTACCAGTTCTACAGCATGATGCTACCCCCTCCATGCCTAAAAGCTGGTACAGAGTTCTTAGGTCTGACAGCCGTCTTCTTTTCCTTGTGGTCAACAGCTCAATCTTTGTCTCGTCTGACCAGAAAACTTGTCACCAGAAGACATGTGGATGGTCCATGTTGGCAACTTTTTACATAAGGGTTTCTTCTCAGTTGGTTTCCTCGTTGGTCATGGAGATGTATCTCTGACCACTGGCGGACAGAGACACAGGTGCTCATGATAGGTTTGAGCCTTGGCGGCTCTTGAGTTGACGTGTTCATTGAGTTTCTTGGACGTACCAGATGTTCCGAGTATTGGCCAATGAATCCTCGTTCTGCTGGTTTAAACAAATCTTCAGCTGAAGTCACCCGTGATCACTGATGAGGCGTTTATGGGTCTTTGTCTTCAACACCGCTCAATAAACGCTTTGGTTTGTATAAATTTGACCCGTTGATGATGAGAGAAAACCTACAAAATACAAACTGGTACAGCAAGTTCATACATACAATACATGAATTCACCACTGGATTATGAAAATAAAATATTAATCTTGAAAATCCTGAAATTAATTTCACATTTGTGGCCATGATGGGTGTATGTAAACTTCTGACCTGTGCTGTACGTGCACACAGGTGTCCGATTTGTAAAATCCAAATGTTTCCGTAGGGTGAAGGTGGTCTCAGTGGACTTCCGGGTCGAGAAGGACCAGAGGTGAGCAGGAGGCTTTACATTTGGTTCTTCAAGTTGGAGACGAGTCCAGATGGACCGGTCAAGTTCTGACCAAGACTTCTGACTCTGTAAACTGTTTCTCACACGCAGGGAAAACCCGGATACAAAGGAGAGAAGGTACGGCCTCCATTTTATTCCCACTGTAGTTGCAGAAACTGTAGACCAGTCTTCAGACGTGATGAACGGCAGCGTTTTTTGTCCCTTTGTTCAGTTGTGTTTGACGCCAAGCTCGTCTGAACGTATTTGTACACCCTTCAGGAATTCAGCTTTACGATTCTGTAAAATCCCACGGCGTTAGACGCTTGGAAGCAGAACACGAGGAGCTCAAACATAAACAGCTCCTTGGAGACGGTGGTCTGAGTCGTAAACTCGTTTATAGAAAAGCCGTAGAATTTGATGGCAAGGACAAAATTATACCACTAACCTGTGCTTTCTGTTTCTCACAGGGGGAGAGGGGGGAGTGTGGAACACCTGGGATTAAAGGAGACCGAGTACGTTCCTACTTAAATCTTAAAAACTTGAATAAATCACCAATACATTCTACTGCACAGTACTTGCCAAGTATTTACCTGGTACATACCCTGTAGGTACAGGGAAACAAGTCCCTTCATAATCCTGAAGGTACACATCAAGAAGCTATATAATAAATACCAAGTACCTACCTGGTAAGTATACATTTACCAGGTATATTTCAGGTATTCACCAGGCAAATACTAGGTAAGTAAACACCTATTGGTTAAGTACACTTACTGGGTACTTACTTATCTGGTACATACCAGCAGTGGTGGACACAGCTCAGCTAATCTGCTAACAGCTAGCAGCGGAAATAATTTTTCGTTTAGCGGATTAGCGTTTTTGCTAACTTTGGAAATCGTTAGTGGAAGTAGCTTTTACTAAATTAGGTTTTAACAATTTTAAGCCCTCTAAAATAATTCACAAGTTGTTCCAGTCTGTTGTGGGCGTGTCTCAAAGAGTCCATCAGGCACGCTATTGGCTGACTACGTGTTCACATGGCACGACATGATTGGTCGATGCAGCTTCAACAGGAAAGAGATGAAGATGTGTAACGCAGACTGAGTGACTGGCGTCGTAGCCGTTAGCGATTTAGCATTAGCTTCTGCTAATTTTAAAATCTGTTTAGCTTTAGCAAAGCTAATTCTTTAGTTAGCAGAATATGGGTTAGCAAATGTAACGTTTTGGTTAGCTGTGCGCACCACTTCATACCAGATAAGTAAACCTTGCCTAATACATAAACTGGTATTTACTTGATCAGTACATATTAAGTACTCAGTTACTTATCACATACCTACTGTGTACTGGTAGATGTTTAGTTACAGGATCGAGTACGTACCATTTAGATCCAGGAGGTACCATTTGAATCGAGTACGTAAATGGTACGTACTCAATCCAAGCGGTATGTACTCTATTCAAATGGTACATACTTGATCCAAACGGTACGTACTCGATCCAAGCATTATGTACTCGGTCCAAACGGTACATACTCGAACCAAGGGGTGCAGACTCGATCCATATGGTGGTACTCGATCCAAACGGTACATACTCGAGCCAAACATTATGTACTCGGTCCAAACGGTACGTACTCGATACAAACGGTACGTACTCAATTCAAAATGGCACAGATTCTATCCATACGGTACATACTTGATACAAACAGTATGTGCTCGATCCAATCATTATGTACTCGGTCTAAACAGTACATACTCGATTCAAACGGTATGTACTCGATTCAAACGGTACATTCTCTTTCCAAACGGTACATACTCTTTCCAAACGGTACGTACTCGATTCAAATTGTATGTACTCGATCCAAACAGTTCGTACTCGACCCAAACAGTACGTACTCGATCCAAACGGTACGTACTC